CACCTGGGCCCACTTGCCGCAACGCGGTGTTACGGTTCTCTCTCTCCCCCTCCCTCTAAAACGACAGCCCCAGCCGACACACTCGGGCGGCGAGCCTCCCGAGAAATCAAAGTGTTTCGCACAGATAACACAAGAGCCGCCGGCGCCGCCTCACCTCGGCCGCCCTGCGGGAAGTTGCGAGCGCAGCGCGTCTGCGGAGCCGCTCATCCGCCGCGGCCGTGCGGTCGGGCTCAGGCTAGGCGCCCCGGCGCGTAATGTCGGGGTGTGAATCCGCTGTTACAGCCCCCTTCGGAGCCGGCTGGCTGTTCCGCTGACGAGGATCCCCAGACCCCGAATCGTGCGTGCCGGGATGATCCCTGGATTCAAGCTCAGTCCCGTCGTAGTGCTGTGGCTAAAAAGCTGCAGTTCTTTACGCTAAACCGAAAAAAAAAAAATAATTACAGTAACTGCTCAACAGAGGCGCGATCTGCTATCCACCCAGCATCTGTCGACAGATTCCGCCCGTTAAGTCCACAAAGAAAGCGGTCTCCCGTCCTCCATGCCTCCGACGGGGGCAGCCGGCGGTGCTCCGTTAAATACCCGGGTTTCCCATCGGCGCTGCGCGTCCTGCGGTCTGTCTTTGTGGGCGCTGCGCTGCCGCTGGCTAGCGGGAGGTTTTCCTGCCTTTTATAAAATCGAGGCTGACTGGCTTTCCACACGGCGAGCCCTCTTCCCCCTCCTTCTCCTCCTCCTCCTTCTTCATAACCAGCACGACCACAGTCGCCTCGGCTCCTCTCTCTCTCTCTCTCCCTGTGTCCCGGAGTCAATCCGCCGGGATTACACGCAGCTCCGCTCACTGCGCAGGCGCGCTGCCCACGTCGCCCCCTTTCTCCTGCGGGGAGGGGGGGAGGAGATGATGTAACCGGCTCCCCGCTCGCGTGTCGGCGGGGCGGCCGCGCAGGTCCGTGGCGCGTCGCCGTGGGCCAGCGAGAGGCCGGTCCGCCGTTTCTGTACCTGCTTCCAGGTGCAGCCTCACGCGTGCGTGACAGGTACCCCACGCTAGCCACGTGTACCGCCTTTGACAACACTGCACGTTCCACCCACCAGTGTCCGCAGTGCACAAACCGCGAACGCAGTGAAAAAATGCAGCTCTGCGCAAAACTCTACTCCAGCACCTGCCTTGTAAAACAGCAGTTGCCAATTATAGAACGAGCTGCTAGGCTTTCAGCTCCTCTCAGCCCGCGGCTTCAGTGAATACAAGGCGTCAAAACTGAAGGGCAGCACCACCTGGGAGGCACACAGTGATCAACCTGCACCAGTAACCCCCCCTGGGAGACACACAGGGGTCATTCTGCACCAGTAACCCCCCCTGGGAGACACAC